GGCAAGAGCACAAGGGAGGGCTCCTCAGGCCGCCGCCGCCTCCCGCGCTCACTTCCTCCCCAATATGGCAGCCATGGCAGCGCCCGCAGCCGGCCAGCCCGCCCCCCCGCGCGCGGGGCGGGCGGGGTGACGTCACCCTCTGCAGAGAGCACCGCGCCCCCTCACTGCCTTGCTGCTATGCAAGCGCGGCGTGGGCGGGGCGGACAGCGCCGGGTGCCGGCTCAAGTAGCCCACTGCGCAGGCGCAGGCGTACGCTGAGGGGGCGGGGTCACGGGAGTAGGGGCGCAGTGAGGATGTGGTGTTAGAGGGTTGTTGTAGTGTGAGTCTGGCAGTGTCCGCATGGCAGTCACTTTATCTTTGAAAAGAGAAATGCAGGAACAATTTTGAGTGTCATGAAGTCAAGCTTAAAGGGGTAGGACACCCAGGCCCACACGTGCCTGTATGAAATCACCACTGGAAAACATAGGGAGCTTTGTGCATAGGCCCCTTGGTGTGAAACGCTGGCCCCTGCGGACACCACACAGGTCTCAGAATAGGGGGGCACTGGCCCATCCCCAGACTACACAATATTCCCTTGGTTAGGGGGAGGGAACCACTTCCTGCCCCCCCCTTGGCCAATTAGCAGTGAGGGAAGGGGCCACTACAAAAAGGCCACTTCCTGCCTTTCCTGGCTGCACTGATGTAGCTCTTGGCACAGCCAATAGAATTGCAAGGACAAATGATTGACGTGTATTTCCATCATATTGAAAAACAGGATCTTTTGCTGTTCATTCCTTATCCATAAAGGGACAGGTGACAAAGGGTTTTAAAAAATTGACAGTAAAACATGACCAATGGCCACCCTAAGGCAGAAAAAAGCAAGATGCAAAGCATCTGTATACTTTTCGCACCTGGCCAGTGAGTTGGGGAATGGGGTCATCATCTCATCAGCTCCACATTGCAGTGTTGACATCCACTGGTGACATGTTGGGTGCACGCACACCCCCTGAGATTGGCAGTGCAACCCCTGAAATTGCCCACTGCCAGCACCCACTCACCACCCGCTCCACCCCCCCCCCACATCTGCACAAGCTTCCGACTTGCTGCTCCCACAACCCCACTGCTGCCACTGTCACCGCCATCTGCGGGAGGTTGCCATGCCTCCCCAGCCTCAGGAGGCACGCAGTATTCATGCTGACATCTGCAAATGAAGACAGGCTTTGAGTTTAAATGATGGGTAGCGTGAAACATTCCTTTGCCTATGTGAGAGTAGAAATATACAAAGCATCTTGTGCCAGCAGCTGCTAGGTTCATCTTAAGCTTGCAATAACGTATCTGTTTAAAAGTCTTCAAAAAGCCTCAACTTCACATATACAATTAGATAGTCTTGATCAATGGCATGGTGGTTGCTGGGGATTGAACATATATGGCACTGTTGAAGTGGTTTTTGGAGATATGGCACCTTCATAATGACCTCTTTTTAAACAAAATTCCTTATATTGTTTTTTTCTGATACAGATAAGAATAATATGGGATCTATCCACATAAAAGATATCACTGGACTGTCCTCTCTGTCAATACTCATTGTCTAGAAACTGCTGCAGCCCATTGTTCTCATGGTGACAGATGACAGAACAAGGAGCAATGGTCTCAAGTTGCAGCAAAGGAGATTTAGGTTGGATATTAGGAAAAACATTTCCACTAGGAGGGTAATGAAGCACTGGAACAGGTTATCTAGAGATGTGGTGGAATTTCCATCCTGGGAGGTTAAGACCCAGCTAGACAAAGCCTTGGCTGGGATGATCTAGTTGGGGACAGTCTTGCTTTGAGCAGACGGTTGGACTAGAAACCTCCTGAGGTCCCTTCCAACCCTAATTTTGTCTGATTTCTATGATGTGTTTACAGCTGCTATACTGTGGTGTCAATGGGAATTGGGAGATGAAGAGATCCATCCCCACCTTTACATCCCAATAAATGTTTGTCTACACTAGATTTTTTTAAATTTGAGTTAATTACCTGTATTGCCTAATATTGTCCAACTCCCCCCCTCCCTGCCTTTAAATCCTAGTCTAGTGGTTTTCAACATTTTTTTCATTTGCGGACTCCTAAACAGTTTTGAATTTTCACATAATTTTGATTGATCATAGTTATCTTTCACGGACCACCTAGACATAGTCTATGGACCCAAGGGGTCCATGGACCACAGGTTGAAAACCACTGTCCTATCAATGGACACCCATTGGCTGTATCTATCCTTAGGTCATGAAATAAAACAGAGAATAGTGATGGCAAAAGGCTCATTTCTGAAAATGAAAAAGATATTGACAAATAGTAAAATTTCTGTGGGGATGAGGTTAAGAGTTTTGGACTGCTATGTTATATCAGTCCCCATGTATGCATCAGAATGCTGGACAATATCATCAAGTATGGAAAAGAGAATTGAAGCAAGTAAGATGTGGTTCTTAAAGCACATCTTGAAGGTATGTTGGACAAGTCACACTTCAAATTAAGATATTTCGTTAAGGGCAGGATGCAGGAGGAATCTGCTGATTAACATCAGAAAGAGTTGGAATTATGATGAAAGAGGAAACATGAGGAAAGAGGAAATTAAAAGACAAGTTATGGAGAAAGAGGAAATTGGAAGTCTGGTTGTAACTGGAAAGATTGAATGAAGGAGAGATCATGGAAGACAGAGGTTGACTTATGTCAAAAGTTTATCTAAATCAGTGGTCACCAACCACAGCCAGGCTTGCTCAGGGCTGCTGGGGGAAGGGAGGACACGCAACCGGGGGGGCATTGGGGGATGTATGTCCCTGGATCTGCACGCAAGGCAGGGCAGAGCGGGCTGTGGCCAGGGCAGTTGTAGCACTGGGCTGTTCCTGGCCAGGCTGCTCCCAGGCTGGGTATTTGTGGCACTGGCGCTGGGAGGGGGACCCAAGGGTGGGCCATAGTGTCCCCCAAACCCCTGCTCCCAGCACCACTGCCGAGCGCAGCATGTGCTAGGCCCAGCAGGAAGAGCCCGGCACAGCCTTCCCCTCCCCTTGCCCCTTCCTTCCCCCAAGGACTTGGGGGCTGGGGACTGGCAGGCACGGGGAAGGGTGAGCTGCAGCTGCGGGCTGGAAGGCTGCACCAAGCTGTTCCCTTCAGGCCTAGTCTGTGCTGCGCTTGACAGCAGTGGTGGGAGCAGGGGTTGGAGTGGGTATGGGGTCCCTTGTGACCCTGCTTCCAGTGCTGCCGCTACAGCCACCCGGCGTGGGCACAGCCTGGTCAGGAACAGCCCCGCACTGCCACTGCCCCAGCCCCAGCCCCAGCCCCATCCCACCTGCCC